GACACTTTTCGACATCTGAACCTCCAAAAGTGGTCCGAGACCGCCAGTTTTTAACACTTTTGACTTGGAAATGTGCTTCGCGCCACAACGGCGTGCACTTTTTCGACATCTCAACTTCCAAAAGTGGTCCGAAGCTGAGGTGTTTTGTACATTTTGACTTGGAAATGTGCTTCGCGCCACAACGGCGTGCACTTTTTCGATATCGCAACTTCCAAAAGTCGTCCGACGCTGAGGTGTTTTGTACATTTTGAATCATTTTGACTTGGAAATGTGCTTCGCGCCACAACGGCGTGCACTTTTTCGACATCGCAACTTCCAAAAGTCGTCCGACGCTGAGGTGTTTTGTACCTTTTGACTTGGAAATGTGCTTCGCGCCACAACGGCGTGCAATTTTTCATCGCTCCTGTGATCTGCTGGCTCCGCACCCGCTGCTTTAGCGAGCCTACTTTTCGACCCTCCTGAGCCACAAATCATTGGAAAAACACAGTGTTTCGCGACTTTCCTACCTTTTTGCGCATCTGTATCTTCTTTCTTCTGACTCTTTCTCTTCTCATCTTCTCTCTTCTAATCTTCCTCTTCTCTCTGCCTCTCCCCTACTCTGCTTTTCATCTGTCCATATTGTCGGAAGTTTGACTTCTAAACTTCCTTCGATAATATATATATATATATATGTTCCAGGTTCGGCGACCCCCCCCTCCCCCCCGATGGTCATGGTTCCCCCCTCCCCCCAGTGGATGTGGGAGTTGGGTGGGTCCTGTAGGTAGTCTCCCCCCCACGGTCATGGTTCCCCCCCTTGGGAGTTGGGTGTATATAGTCTCCCCCCCCATGGTCATGGTTCCCCCCTCCACCCTGTGGATGTGGGAGGTGGGTGGGTCCTGTTGGTAGTATGGGTAGTCAAGAGGTAATATAACTATACTTTTTAGTTCCTATATATATATAAGTAGGTGATACCATCCAAACTGGTGCAAATACCACTGAAATATGAGGTTTTGATAGGTTTTGCATCCAAAATGCTGTAAATACCATGGAAATGAAAGATTCTAGGTCAGGGAGTAGGGGACCATACCGTGGGGGGGGCTACGGGACCGGGGACCGGGATCATATATATATATTATATTAAAGAGAGAGAGAGAGAGAGAGAGACCATGAGAAACCCATTTTTGTGCAGATTGTAGAACAAAATGTGTGCGTGTGCAGGTGTGATACACCCTGAATGAGGTTTAGCTGGCCTCCTCGCTAATTGTCCGACAGTTTGCATCGTCGCAATATCTCATTCCCTCCTGGCTGGGCAAAGAACAAAACCCATTCACTCCGTAGGCTGCTGGGCTTGGCAGAATTCCATAGAATTCCGGGCTAAGAGCCTCGCCTTTTCGACCAGGAGGTTCCGCTGCGCCACAACTTCTGCATCTGCAGGGACGCAGTGTAGGCAAGAGAAGGAGCACCTGAGTTTCTCTCCGTATATGCAGAAACCTTCTCACCGCTTCTCACTCCTCTGGAACCAAACCGAGACAGAAACCACAAGAAAACACATGCGAGAGCCATGAATCACAATGAAGACGCCAATAGAGTCAATAGAGACTGTGCAATCTTGGGACCGCGCGTCTTTGCAACTCGTGGATCTGCACAATGGCTTGAGATCCCGGCACCTCCACACTGGATTTTTTAGTCAAATTCCACCAATGAAGAAGTACTGGCTGTAGGGTACAAAGGGCTGCAGCTTGTGCTGGTGGAAAACGCTGCACCTCCAACTTCTTTCAAACATGATGTTTGCAATGTTTGCACGAAATGAACATTTGGGATTTCGGGATCATTTGGACACAAAATGGCATGAATCTAGTCTCAGCATGCCACAACTGTGATACTCCTCATGCAGGAGAAGCCTGGGAACACACAGCAGCCCACAGCCACATAGCAACGCGGAAAACGAAACAAATTAAGTTCAAAAAAAGCCGCTAATCTTTACATGTTGCAACACTTCCACCGTCCAAGCTTCTCGCGTCAAGTTGGTTGCTGCTTCAGGGTCGTCAATGCCTCAAGCACTCCAGGATACTCTAGATATCTAAATGACATGGGTGCCGGTAAAGGCATGCCAAGCGCGAACAAGCTGGACCATATTGGACCATATTGTGATCGACAAATCGCTAAAAATCCTAAGAGCCTCTGAGAGCTTCCTTAGTATTTTTTCATATTTTTTCCACTCATCATTGAATCTTGTTGACCCTCTTGATTTTCTCCTGTCCTCCTGTCCTCGACACGGGTCCTTTTAATTTTTGGCACCCCAAGTAAAATCAGTTTTCGCAAGTGTCGTTCATTTATCATACTTCATCTCTACCTCACTGATATCTCTCACGATACATTATATAATCTACATAGAATTGAATCACCGCCAGGACCATGACCACAGTGCAAATTCCAAGCAAATTCTCTGTAAGACCCACCAAAGGTCTAAGCTTTCTCAAACAAACCTTTGAGACCTTCCGCTTCATTTGCCGATAGTCAACTTGGCAAATAGTTGTGGATTTTTGAGGAATCATTGGTTGGTGTCTTAATCTCCTGGTCTCGTTGGTCCAAGTTGTCAAGTCATGTCACAGGTTCCATCATAGTGCATCCCACGTCCATCCAAGAAAAGTTCTGCCAGGACCTCATAGCAACGCGCGGAAAAATGACGCAAATCGACCACATGTATACAAAGATCGATATACAAAGGTATCCAAATGTTGCATTTCAAAATGTTCAAATCGATTCCAAAGCTTTCACCGTCGCTTCATGTCAAACGGTCTCACGTGGTTTCACATGGTGTCCCGCTTTGCGCAAAGCTCCACACCCGTGTGCGGCTGCTTGGGGCAATCCTTTGAGGACACCCATACCTTAATGGTGTGAAGAACATTGAAGAACTGTTCATGAGTTGTAGATTGTAGATAGTGATAGTTGTAGTATGTTGTACTGTAGGCTTTGAAGAAAGCCGCCCTCTGAAGCTGAGGAGTGAACAAATCCCCCAAGGCTTCCACATCCAGCTCGGATAAGCCAAGTCGTTGACCCAGGAATCCGGCCTGGGATCAGGATGGAAACAAATGGAATATGAAAATGAATGAAAATGAATGAAAATGATGGAAACAGTTAGTGACTAAGTGGCGGTTTCAGAGGGGACGTGGTGACTGTGCCACAACTTTCAGAGCGTCAAATCACAAAACGTCCATGCCTGCCGCAGATCCCAAGGGATTCCAAGCTAGAGCTCTGTTCAATTTGCTCATGCCCCTTTATGATCTTTATATATCTTTATGCTGTTGCTACAGTTTTGCGTTTAGCTTTGCTCATCTTTGCTCTGGCTCCGCCATAACCCTGTCCCAAACCTTCCCATATTCTTCCCATGATGTCATACGACATCTCGCTAAGAGTTGACATCTTGCTGAGATTTTCCAAATTTCTGAGTCCGAGTCTAGAAAAGGGTCGTGGAGAGGCTCCATGGAGTTGCCAGTGCCGTTGGTGAAGGCCTTTTGTTTCACAACGTCAAGGTGCATCAAAACATGTCCAAAGCCAAAGGGGAAACATTGGATGAGTAAACACACTAAATTTTATAATACATATTACGACATACAGTCTCTCACCATATCTTAACATATCTCAACCATTCTCGTGCTTTCCCCCTCAACATGCTAGCCTGGGCAGGATACATGTTGATGCTCAAGAAGTCAAACGGATCCTTCTCGTAGGCTTCCAAAGGGGGAGGTGCTTCCCTGCGAAGTTCACAGTGAATATACACCACAAGCAAAACCATCCAAAAATATCCAAAACCACCATGATCATCCATGATCCACCATATGTCAGGCACTGTTTTTTTCTTGTTTTTGTTTTGCGAAGTTGAGACGCTCTTTGCAGCATTGTAGTTTTTTCTTTTGATATTCTTGGCTGCACATGGCATCAACGCCTTTTTGCAAAGAACTTCTTCATCCATGGCTGTCGAAGATGTTCCGTATTTATCTTCACGTACCTGCAGCCATTATCAGCCATTGACCAATTGTCCAAATTAAATGAACGACGGTCAAATCGAACAAACAGCTGCATGCGGCTACATGCGCACTTATCGCGATCGATTCGGCTGGATTCTTTCCGGATACCAAGGACCTTAAAGAGCTGGTGAATCACCATGCCCTTCATCTCACAGCCTCACCAAAACCGATACGCGCTGCACCCGTGATCACCTGTGATCACCCGTCTCAACGCTTCACAGGGGGAAAATAGAAGGATACACACACACATATATATATATATACAGAATATATATATAATTATATAAAAATAAATGAATGAATAATTATATATATATATATATATATCATATGGATATATAAGGATATATGAGATACAAATAGGTACAACGTGACATCATGTAACATCAATATCATCAATGTAACATAATGTTTCCTTGTTGCCATTCAGAAACAGGAGTCTTGATCAATGACATGTTGAAATAAATGCGGGGCGCTGACCTCGTCCGAGGTTGAGGAGCGTAATGGTACTGGCGCTCTTGTTGCCCGAATCCTTCAAGGACTTGGTCTGCTACAATCTCACTTATTCATACTTATTTAAATACTTCTGCCATCAGATGGCAGGTGCATCGCATTTGCATGTGTCTCATGTCAGCTTCGTGTTTTCTAACTGTTCCGCCAGTTCCAATGGCAATTTGCCTTCTTATACGCCGACCAGCATCCGGTATTTTCATCTCGGACCTGCCCATTGTCGAGGCAGAAAAACGGCAACACTCGGGCAACACTCGCGTCCCATCATGTCTGATCATGTCCTATCATGTCCCATCTATAAATGAAACGACCATATACCATAATGCAAAACTCGGAAAACTTAGGAAAACCATGCGGAACGCGAACATGTCATGCCTCGATAGCTGGAACTGTGCATCCGTCCAGGGTCTGCTTTGGCTTTACTGATGTGAAGCGAAGGCACGGAACCTGAAAACTCAAATAAGGAGAAAGCAATAAAAGACACCTGCCCACGCCTGTCCAAAACATCCAAGACTCTCTTTCCATCCTTCAGCTAGTGTATACTAGTGTCGTGTTTTGATGCGTTACTCAATGCCATGTGCCAAAATTTCATAAAATTTCCACACCCTCCAGGCAACGGCGATGTATTTGTCATTCGAGTTTTCACATTCTTCCCAGATTCTTCCCACCTGCTCTTCTATGTGCCTTGTTGCAGCCACAAAAGCTATCTTCGCCTCAAGTGCTGCCATGGTTTGGTTAACTGTCTCTTCAGTCCTGATTCAGGGTGCACAAGCAACAACCTGTAATGGCCGGTCAAAATCTGTAATTACAAAATTTAGAAAATCGATGAAAATCAAACATAATCAAACCCCCTCTTTCAGCTGGGGCAATGACACTGGTACCAGTCCCCAGTCTGAAGCAGTAACGGACTTCGTGCAGCTCTTCCTAGGTTGGAATTCGTAGACTGCTTGGATACTGCTTGAATAGAATGAAACAAATGACTGAGAAGTCCGAGAAGGGCTTTGATTCCTGTTATAGCTCCAAAGGGCTTTTATGCAGTCGCGGGATGTCGCGGGCATTGAATTCTGAGTCATAGCAGTCATACTGAGCCACAAGCGCGGGAGTCATTGGAAAGTGAAACAGTTGGGTCCTTGTGGTGACGTGGAGCGACATAGAGTGATACACAAACAGCAAACACAAACAGTGACATAATATATATATATATATATTATAATTTAATGACATTTACAGTATGTCATTTATGAATATTTATGATGTCATGTGATGTCGCTGATTCGAAGGTAGGCAAAACAGAACTAAATGATACTAAATGGCTGTATTGAAAATTTTCGCAATTTAATTGGCTGCATTTTGCTGTACGGATCTGTACCGTGTACAGTGATGTACAGTGTACAATGGTGTACAGGTCTCACATGGCCTGGCCTCGTAGGGCCGGGTCTCGATGTCCCCAAAGAAGTTGTGCTCCTAAGCATGGCCAGGTGGACGGCTGTTTCCTTGAAATAACATGAATTACAGTAACATGAATTAACTCCATGACAGGTCATGACTCAAAATAAATACCAAAACACTCTCAACACCTGTTCTCAACGCCAATTCTCAACACATCTCAACTTGCCAAATGTGGACCTCCAGTTCTTTGACAGGCGTGAGGCCTTAATAGCTGGACACGGCAGCACATGAAGCAAGGCAATGCAAGACAATTCTGAAGGCTGATGCACTGATGCAACATACATGCACACCTGCAGAGCACAAACAGCAGTACCCCCACTGCATTCAAGGGGAATGTTCATCGACAATGAGGCTCCAACCAGGAAAGCACGAGTAGAAGAATTGACTTTGATCTGAAGCCGTCCACACGCTGCCAGTCTGACAGGAAAACTCAGCAACGATTGTTCTTACTCTTTCTCTCTCTCTCTCGTGTATGAAAGGTGAAACTACGATACGACTTGACCAAGGCTTTGTCACAAACATAGCAAGCTATCGGACCTTGCCGACCTCAGACCTCAAAATACGAACATGAACATGTACATTTGATGTACATTTATCAGTATTTATCAGGTTGACACCTACCAAACGCCTGTGACACAATAACCCTCGATTTGTAGAGGTTCGATCGCTGTGATGTTTGAAGGTTGGTTTTTGGTGAAGAGGGACAAAGCAACCTGGCCTCCAATTCTTGGAAACTGACCATCCGGTATTGGTATCAGACCATTTACAGTGACAGTGTCCGCTCGGACACCGCGTCAGACATCACTATCGCCACTACCATGCAACCCCCACACCACCTTGGAACATCTTGGAACATCGTAAACATCTCACGCCTGCAGATTCACCAAAGATCCTAAAAACCTTAATTACAACATATTACAACAAACATCAACAAACAGAAGCGTTGAACCGCGTGGGCCCCTTTCCTCTGAGAAGTTCCTGTGCCCTCTTTTGCTGCGGCTTTCGATTCCGCCGGTATGTAGAATCAACTGGAATCACGCAAAGAGACGGCGCACCTTACAATCCTGCACTACACAGACATGTATTATCGCTGTAGGTAGTGCACGGACAGAATGTCAAAATCATGAGTCATGGGGACAATTACTTTATTAATTGGCATAGTTTGGAAGTGAACTGGTTTGTAATACCTTAAATGCCAAACCGTGCATGGTCAACATGTCAACAGCTTCGCATCAACAGGGCCTGCAATGCACTCTTCAGCGTGAGGTTCCCAAGAGCCGCCACGATGAGATCCAGAGACTGTCAAACATCAACACAGCTGAGCAAGCAGATGTACCAAGGCCCCCACCACTGGGAGCCCCTCCGTATTTCAATAATCTTCAATTATCTTCAATCATCTTCAATCCCTCAACCCACACTCAACCCATCAATTTCATTCAATTTCATGAATTTCCAAACTGATAGCGACTCTCTCGCCCGAAGGATTCCTTTCCAGCTCTTCATGGGTTCGTCTAAGTTGATCACCCCACAGCTCTATGTAGTTGAGTAGAGTAGCGGGGTTCGAACCCTAAAACAGGCCCGGCCCTTCCATATCTTCCATCCATACTCATCCACGGTTCATACCCCGGGCCTTATGATTCAAGGGGCATTTTTTTTTGAATATTGAGGTCACAGAGAAGGTAAAGAATGCAAAATGGAATCTGCCTCCTCTGTTGCATTTCCATCCTCCAATTTGGTGAGGGAGTCGTTCACAACCTCATCTGTGGACACGCCTCTTCTCCAGGATGCAAGACAAAAGCTGTCCAATCTGTCCAGCTAAACATCAAAATCCTTAATAGTATCTATGATGTGTTCTGTATGCGTTCTTCCTCGTACAATGCCAGTCACTCCGCATGAAAAGAGATATATATATATATATATATCTGGAAACTTGTTCGTGGCAAGCTGCAGGTAGATGGAATCTCTGTGTCACAGACAGGCCTGCAATTTGACACGGAAAGAAATGGACTGAAATCGTTCTGTTCACACATGTGAGGCTAAGTCTTGTGTAGAGTGTGGCTACACTGTTTGATTTCTTTGGAGTAACAATTATAATTATATATATACACTTGCACAGCTGCAGCATTCCCCATATTCCCCCGTCCCTTCATCCGTGCATGGCAGCTGAACTATGCTGAACTGAACTATCACAGAAGTGCACGTCAGTTTGCCAGCAAAATTGATTTGCTATAACTTCCTAACATTGAATCATTCAAATTCGGGAACATTTCTAAATTCGGGTTGCACGGAAAAACACTCCCACCAGCCAGCATACACACACACACCCACACGGCCTTCGTTGAGAACTTGGTTCTGCTGCGCTGCAAGTAGGGAACGAACCTTAGAAACATAGACAGGGACAGTAGTTTCAACGGATTTGCAGAGAGAATGTGGCACTGCAGCCGTCATGCCATTGCACTCGTGAATTCAATCCGAGAGAGGCCGCCTTCTGCAGAATCCTCCTGCACTCAGGAACCTTGCAAGTCAAATGGCCCCTTCAGATTTAATTAATCGTGATGTGAATAAAAAGTCCGCAGGAACGATATGAACGTGTAAGGTTCCAGCGTCGAAACCAGAACGGGCTGCCAAAGCAACTTCTGATAAACCTGTTCACTAAAAGTTTCATCTCTTGACGTCGCAAACAAACGGTCGCAAAAAAGTGAACATGAATTCGACGGGAAACCATTCTGAAAGCAACCAAAGTGTTCAACAGCCATGAAACGAACGATGCAGAACAAATCTACCATGCCTTCATCTACAGTGGCGTTCACGTCATGGAGTTGGATTTCACTAACACCTTCCGGCTCACAAAATGGATAGAAGTCGTCATGCTTTGCAGTGTCGCAGCATGGCACTTCCAGGTAATCACATCAAATATCATCAAATGTTTTTCTAAGGTTTCTTTCCCCCTGTCCATCTATTTACCTTTCTTTCATTTTTGCATTGTTTCTTGTTTTCTCTCTCCTTCTCCCTCCCTCCCTCCCTCCCTCTCTCTCACTCTCTCTCTCTCTCACTTTTTCTCTCTCTCTCTCTCTTTTTTTCTCTCTCTCTCTCTCTCTCTTTTTCTCTCTCTCTCTCTCTCTCTTTCTCTCTCTCTCTCTCTCTCTCTCTTTCTCTCTCTCTCTCTCTCTCTTTCTCTCTCTCTCTCTCTTCCTGCATGCCTCTTGTGTCCTTTTGTGCCTATTTAGGGATCAAGGCGGTGGCGGAAGTTTCAAAAATACTCAAAAGTAGGAAACCTATAGGAGCTGTTGGTTGTTGTGAATCACGGATGGCAGAGCGAATCCACTGATGGACCGAAAGATGGTTGGAATGTCGAATCATCCGTCGGTCTATCCATCCATCCATCCATCCATCTATCTATCCTTCTTGTCTGTCTACTGATCTATCTGTCTACTGATCTATCTGTCTACTGATCTATCTGTCTGTCAACCTACCCATCTCTCTGTCCATCCACCTGCTTAGCTCTCTATCTGTCTATGCAGCCGTCCATGCATCATCCTATTTCTGTCTATGTGTCCATCTGTCTATCTTTCTCTTCTTCTCTCTTTCGAGATCTGTCCGTTTCCTTGTCTCTCTATCTGTCTGTCGTCTTGTGGTCCATCCATCTATCTAGCTGTCTATCTGCCCATCCAGCTATCCATTCTATCCATTGATGTACCGAAACATTTCACCCATCCAGCTATCTAGTTCTTCATCTTTCCATCTAGACAGTTCAACAGCAAGCAAGCAGGTAACATTTACACAGACAAGACACAGAGCGAACAGACCCTTGGTTTCAGATGTGGTGTAAATTACAAAACTTCAAAATGTGAGACATCGCTCTAGCAGGATCCCTTGGGTGCACACCACACAACTCAACCTTTTTTACCGTGTGTTTGCGGAGAGAAAGAGCAGCGTCCGTGACTTCGTACTTCGTACCGTCAGAAAAGACAAGTACGAAAATGGCAAGCAAACATCCGGAAGATAAACATGTGACTGATCATGGCAAAACAACAGATGATGACTTCGACCCGAGAGGCATCCAGAAAAACATCCAAAGTCAACAGTTGGTTCATACACGTAATGACACATCGATACAGATTCTTTTCATGTTAAAGTTCCCAACCCAGCCCGACCCAATGATTACCACACAACCATCTTCAGGTACTGTTGCAACTGACTGCGAACATGCTGTTCATTGACCAAACCAAAATGACATCATGGGTGACGAACCGGTTGAACACTTAGTAAGAGATCATCCCTACAATGTGACACCGAGAAAGGATCCAAGCTAACAGATGAATTGAACCCATGTGTTTCCAGAAAACCATCATCCCCCAATGATGCAACTAACAGCTACCATTCTATTTGTTCACTCAAACAACACCCACCTCCATCCTTT